TGGGTTTACGACCCTTCATATTGCAGCAATTAATGATCATCGTGAGATAGCTAACATCCTTTTAAAGAAGGTAATTTTATAGAAAAATGATTTTAACGACTTTTCCCCGTTTAATTATCTTTTTTTTTTTCGCGTGCAAGACTCCCTTTGTGGTTAATTTAACCGCTTGACAGATTTGAAAGAATGTCGTATGTGTTTAATCTTGGAATGGAATATGACTTTCTGCGTGTGGTTAGCTGGGATATTCAACACTACTATTCTCCAATTGGAAAAACTACGAAAACAAAACGCTTTCATTTACTATAACGATCAGTTCACTGCAAATAATTGATTGTTACAAGGCTTACGTAGAGGTTTAATTTACTCTGGACAGGTGTTCCATACCAACGAACCGATATCCTTGTTTCTCGTCCGTTGTTAAACAACCCTTCTGTGAGTGAGATGCTACTCCATCATTGTATATCCCATGAAATTCCGTCAGGATGTCCTCTCCTGGGCAGGGAAAGGGCTAACGAAAGTTTCCTACTATAGAACATAACACAGTGACCTAGGCAGATCCTATTGGTAAACAACCCGGGTCTGGAGTCTACGTTGCGAACCGTCAGGCCATTGCGTATTCTTTTTATTGACAACCTCACCAAAAGTTTATAAAAACTTTCGAACAATGAATCTGAATCTGATAATTCAATCCGATAAAGATATTTTGATAGTGAGAGTATATTTTTTCTCTAACAGCCGGGGTGTGAGGTCGATGCTCTGACCGCTAAAAATCAATCGGCTCTTCATTTAGCCGCCAATGAAGGGTACTCAGTCATGGTAGGGATATTGTTGGACCATGGAGCCAGTGTGAATGCGGTGGATGATGACGGAGATACAGCGCTTCACATCACTTTAATGAAGGAACACGTTTTTCAGAGAAATCCGGAAGTAATGGTAAATAAGTAGCGTCATAAAATACCGTGCTATGAGCCTGTTCATGGCGTTTAATCAGTAAAAGAAGCTCGATAGTAAACAGCGCTGTAGTCGCGGAGGGGTGAAGGGGTCAGGTCACGTTTACCATGGCTATTTCACCCTTCCGCTATTATGACGCCTTTGGCCACTACGCTCTGTTTTACTAACTGAACACTTGAAACAGGCCAACAAGAAATAGATTTGTTTTATTTTAGCCTGGTCTGGAGTTACTACTTGGTGTACGAAAGAGCAGTGCGCCCTTTGTTGCTGTTTCACGCTGCTTGTTAAGCTATGGAGCTGACGTGTTGAAAGTCAATGGCTCTGGGGAAACACCGCTGGACAGATGTCGAGGATCAGAAGTTGAGCAACTCATTCGGAAGATTGCAGCCTGTGGAGGGTATTCAAATGCTTTTGTGATACCTGTACACCTTTCTATGTTAAAGTAGAGCGGATTCTCGCTTCCAAAACACCTACATTCGGATGAAATTTTATCCTGGCAACACAACATTTTTGATCACGCCAAACAGATTCCCCGCGTGGTCTTGGTATCTCTTGCCTGAATCGAAGGCACATTACTAATAGGGGGACATTCAAATATTCAGTCCGAAGAATACCACCTGAATTAGGGCCTTTTTAGTGCATGTGGAAATTGCTTTTACATGATGTCCAAGTAAAATGAATCTTTGTTTATCAACTGTAGAGCTACAAACAACAAGAAAGTTCCAAGTTTTGGGTCCTCGAGCGGGTCGCAAACCGAACCCGAGTTAGGCGATGCTTCATCTTCAGCAAGTGTGGTGACACAGACAGATGAGACTGAAAAAGATGATGGAATTCAAACAGATAAAATTGGTAGCACAGATGAGGCAGAAGATGCGTTTTTAAGGGACGTAATAAAGGACTTGTGCAGAGGAGATCGAGAAGACATTAGGGTAAGCGAAACAAATGAAGGTGTATCACAGGAAAAAGCCTTTGTAAAAAATATACGTTCTAGAGGAAAACACATTATGTCGCGTTAAAAGTTCAAAAGGAGTTCTAAAGCACTGTAGCTGTGCCATTTTGTATCAGTATTGAAAAAACTGCAACGAGGACGATCCTACTACGTTTAGTTGTCTTTCTGTAACAACCACACTTTAACAGGTCTGACGCACACATTCGTTCATTAATAGGCGGACATCGACCTCGTGAATGCTGCGAGAAGTAACAACCTCTCAAGAGTCAAGGAAATCTTGGATGCTAAACCAGAACGGGTACCTTTTTTTCTTTCATTCCTTTTACTTTTGCGGATAGTATTTGCAAGGCTGAAAAAATTTCTTTAACTAAGGTAATATGATAAATACGAGCGTAAGAAGAGAACTGCGTAACTTAGGGTCAGTAAACAGTGATAACTAAAGGTATATTTTTTAAGACTTCTAGAATCAAATTTGTACTTGGTGGCGTTTAAAAAGAATTGATATGATAAAGGGTTTGTGTTTTTTGTTCTGCACAGATTGATAAGCTAGTGGGTGGTCACACAGCTCTCCATGTAGCATGTCGCCAGGGGCATTGTGACATCATTGGAGAATTGCTTGAGAGAGGAGCTAACATGGATATACTGGTGGGTAACAAGAGTTTTTATTCAATACAGTGCTTTTAAACATCACGGTTATTTTTTTACCCCATTCAAATGATTGTAATTGTTAGTGCTGCTCGAGAAGGATAACAAAGAGACACATGATCGACGAGCTTAGGTTGTTATTTGACAGCCTCGTATTCTATTTATCTTTGTGTTTGAGGAGTAGAACCTCCTTATTCATACACTTTTATTTTTTCATAACACAGGATAATCAGGGATACACAGCCATGCATCACTCTACTTATCAGTAAGTTGACATATAAAAGCTTTTCAAAATTATAATTCGATTCAGAGATTACTTTAATTTTGCTTTCCTTCGCCAAACGATTGCTTTCGAATACTTTAGCCATCCTCTCCAATTGAATAGAAAAACAAAGAACGAAAACCACTGAAAACGAAGTAACTCTTGTTGTGCTTAAATTCGACAGCATGTGATTGTTCTCCATGTTCATTCATCCGCTAAGATATTATTACATGTTCTGACTGGCTCTGATTGCTTAGCTTTTGTTTTTACGACTCTTGCAGGAGCCAACACAAAACATCTGCATGTTATTGTTCATATATTTCTTCCTTTATAACAGTCACGCAAATATTTTTAGGAAAGCAGAATAAGTAACTTCTTAAGTTAAACTAAAATGCATAAATGCCCGATGTTTTGTCGAACTTATATCCTCGTCATCATTCAGAGACGAAAGCGGTGAAGCACTGAAACTGTTACTGGAGAGAGGTTTTGACCCAAATGTTCAACACAGAAGTAATAAGAGCACACCCTTACATTTGGCTGTGAAAAGGAAAAACGAAACGGCAGTACAGATCCTGACAAAGTGCCCTGAGTGTGACGTCAATCTACAGGTTCGTTGGTTCCTTTGAAGATACCAGTTCTCCTGAGAATACAAATTCCTAATGTTTTCTCGACTGTTTGACTAACTCAGCAAACATTGCACATATTATTAAGACGCATTTCGTTGTAAAATCTAAAACTACATTGCCCTTTGTTTATTTTAAACGTACATGAAAAGTCTATGTCCTGCCGTTGGAAAGTCTTAAGACTCAACTGTTTTGGCTGTGGCACTGGACTATTTGACGTTTGCAACCATTCTTGATGTTTTCATCCCACCGTTTTCGAGCTCAAATACACTGCTACCGAAGCTGCCAGTCGATAAAACAAAGTCGAAAGACACCACGTGACTCCTGACATTACGCTTGACCATTTTCAGGACGAGGCAGGTGATACCCCTCTCCATGATGCCATCCTTGCAGAACACCACAGCATGGTGGATATGCTGTTAGAGTGTCCAAGAATTTGTTACACTCTTTGTAACGGAAAAGGTTTCAATTATCTTCAACACGCTGTTTTGAAAGGAGATAAACGGTAACTATGCCAAAAATAATTACAGCACTACTCAGTTAGACAGCTTAATCAGAGTAAAGGTACAATAGCTTAATACCCAAATCTAAGGCATAGTTGTCAACTAATCGTCGCAGTTTTTGAGACATCTGAGTCATACTTGCGGTCATAGGGAATCTAGACTTATATGCAAACTAAGGTCGAACGTGAAGTTCATGATCTTCCTGATTGTTAGGGTCGTTGGTCATCACTTGGCCTGGTGTTCACGTAATTTGGACAATTGGGGCGATGAGTGATCAGGAGGAAACTAGAATAAATCCCAGTTACAAGATTTCTTAAATTTTGTCACCTAGATTCGCTTTGACATTCAGTATAACGTAAATCTGTTGTATTACTTATTCACAGCGCCGTGGAAAGAGTTTTTGCCAAAACTGGGAATTCCTTGAATGTTGTCAAAAATGATGGGTTCACGACCCTTCATATTGCAGCAATTAATGATCATCGTGAGATAGCTAAGATCCTTTTACAGAAGGTAATTTTATAGAAAAAATATTACCCACTTCTCTCCGGTTTTTTTTTTTAATCTCAATTTCTTTTCGCGTGCAAGACTGCTTGTGTATGGTTAAACCGCTTTAACAGATTTGAAAGAATGTCGTATGTGTTCAATCTCTGAACGGAATATGACTTTTTGCATGCGGTTAGCTGGGATATTGAACACTACTGTTACGTCCCATTGGAAAAACTAGGAAAACATAACGCCGCCTTTTACAATAACGGTCAGTTCACTGCAAACAATTGATTGCTATAAGACTTATGTATAGGTTTTTATACTGGAGAAGTGGTCCATACCAACACACCGATATCCTTGTTTCACGCACATTTCATCACCAATGTTTCCTGTTTGAGATGCTACTCCATCATTGTATATCCTATAACTTTCAGTCGGGATGTCCTTTTCTGGGCAGAGAAAGGGGCTATCGACAGTTTCCTGCTATAGAACATAACAAAGTGACCCAGGCAGATCCTTGTGGTAAACAACCCGGGTCTGGAGTCTACACTGCTAGCCGTTGCTAACCGTCAGACCACTGCGTATTCTTGTTATCGACAACTTCCGCAAAAGTTTACAAAAGCTTTTGAATAATGGATCTGAATTCTTGCCGATAAAGATAACTCGATAATAAAAGGATGTTTTTTATCAAACAGCCGGGGTGTGAGGTCGATGCTCTAACCTCTCACAATCATTCGGCACTTCATTTAGCCGCCAGTAAAGGGCACTCAGTCATGGCAGGGATGTTGTTGGATCATGGAGCTAATGTAAATGCGGTGGATGATGACGGAGATACGGCGCTTCATATCACTTTAATGAAGGAACACGTACTAAAGAGAAATCCGGCAGAAATGGTAAATAAGTAGTTTCATGAAATACCGTGCTGTGAGTCTGTTCATGGCGTTCAGTCTGTAAAATGAAGCTCCATAGTAAACAGCGCTGTAGTCGCGGAGGAGTGAAGGGGTCAGGTCACGTATACCTTAGCCAGTTCACTCCTCCGCTAAAAAGACACTTTAGGCCATTATGCTCTGTTTTACCAAATGAACGCTTGGAACAGGCCAACAAGATGTCGAAGGAGACATTGTATATTTTATCTCCTTTTTTCTCCCATCCAGTGTGAGAGGATTAGCAATGTAGAATGATCATAACATGGATGGTTATGCATATGTCCTTGCTTTTACCAGGACGTTTAAAGCTAACTCCAATAATAACTCAGGTGTTGTCCACATCCATAGACAATGATATTGTTGGGAAGTAAAGTTAGTGTTGTTTTCTTTCCTCAAGCGATGCTGCCGTCTTATTTCGTCAACCCAATTAAAAGAGGAACGTAGTAGATAGACAAATAATTTCTACCATCAACCACACCCTTTGAGAATCGTCCTCCCACTTAACTTTGCTATGAACTCGATGTAGTATAATGATCTCAAATAGGTTCTCACACTGCCTGCAATAAGCATAACTGATGTAAAGCTAATCAGTTGGTGCCTTGTTAGTGTCTTTGGCCTTCTACACGAAATAGCGTTGTTTTATTTTAGCCGGGGCTAGAGTTACTGCTCGGTGAACGAAAGACCAGTGCGTCCTTTGTCGCCGTCTCACGCTGCTTGTTAAGCTATGGAGCTGACGTGTTGAAAGTCAATGGCTCTGGGGAAACACCGCTGGACAGATGTCAAGGATCAGAAGTTGAGCAACTCATTCGGAAGATTGCAGCCGGTGGAGGGTATCCAAATGCTTCTGTATATTTTTTGATACCTGTACACCTTTCTATGTTAAAGTAGAGCGGATTCTCGCAAAACACCTACATTCGGATGAAATTTTTATTCTGGTAACACAAAATTATTGATCACGGCAAACAGATTCCCCGCGTGGTCTTTGTATCCCTTGTCTGAATCGAAGGCACATTACTTATAAAGGGACACTCAAATATCCAGTCCGAAGGATGCCCTCTGAATTAGGGCCTTTTTAGTGCATGTAGGAATTGCTTTTACATGATATCTAAATAAAATGATACTTTGCTTATCAACTGTAGGACTACAGACAACAAGAAAGTTCCAAGTTTTCGGTCCTCGAGCGGGTCGCAGACCAAACCTGAATTAAGCGATCCTTCATTTTCAGCAAGTGCGGCGACACTGACAGAGGAAACTGAAAATGAAGATAAAAATCAAACAGATAGAATGGCTAGCACAGATGAGACAGAAGATACGTTTTTAAGAGGCGTAATAAGTGACTTGTGCAGAGGAGATCAAGAAGACATTAGGGTAGGCGAAACAGCTGAAGGTGTATCACAGGGAAAAGCCCTTAAGGACAGCACTGTAGTTGTACCATTTTGTATCAGTAAGGAAACTACAACGAGGATGATCCTAATACGTCTAGTTGTCTTATTGTGACAACCATGCTATAAGAGGTCTGACATGCTCATTCGTTCATTGATAGGCGGACATCGGCCTCGTAAATGCTGCACAAAACAACAACCTCTCGAGAGTCAAGGAAATCTTGGATTCTAACCCAGAGCGGGTACCGTTTTTCTTTCATTTCTTTTACTTTTACAGATAGTATTTACAAACGTTTTCTACAATCAAGACAATATGATAAATACGAGCATAAGAAGGGAATTGCGTAACTTGGGTTTTATTAAACAGTGATAACTAAATGGATATTTTTTCTAAACTTCTAGAATCAAATTTGAATTTGGCAGCGTTTAAGAAAATATGACCTGATTAAGGGTTTGTGTCTTCGTTCTGCACAGATTGATAAGTTAGTGGGTGGTCACTCAGCTCTCCATGTAGCATGTCACCAGGGGCATTGTGACATCATTAAAGAATTGCTTGAGAGGGGAGCTAACATGTATATACTGGTGAGTAACAAAAGTTTTTATTCAGTCCAGTACTTTTAACCATCACCGTTATTTTGTTCAAATTACTTTAATTGTTAGTGCTGGTTGAGGAGGATAACAAAGAGACTCATGATTGACAAGATTAGGTCATTATTTTAACATGATTATATTCTACATATCATAGCGTTTCAGATGAGTAGCCTTCTTAATCATACACTTTAATTCTTCTCAAAATACAGGATAATCAGGGATACACAGCCATGCATCACTCCACTTATCAGTAAGATGACCGAATTATGATAGTTATGTTAAATAATCTGCGAAACTGAGAAATCTAAGATTGCTTTAGTTTTTCTTTCCTTCTCAATGCGATTACTTTCGAAATCTTCAGCTACCCTGTCAACCAATCGATAAAAAAATAACACCCACGGCAGTGAAAGTAACTTTTGCACAGACTGCTTTCGATAGCATGTGTTTGTTGTTGTTATTGTTTATTTATCCATCAAGATACTCATCTTTGTTCTGAGTGGCTCTGATTGCTTTCGCTTTGGTTTAATGACAACCTACGCTTATCATTTCAATGTTATGGTTCATATTTTTTTTGTTGTTGTTGCTGTTGTTATTGTTGTTTTTTTCATTATGACACAGGAAAGCAGAATTAGAAACTCCCTATATTAATGGAGAATTTCTAAAATACTTGATCATTCAGAGACGAAAGCGGTGAAGCATTGAAGCTGTTACTGGAGAAAGGTTTTGATCCAAATGTTCAACACAGAAGTAATAGGAGCACACCCTTACATTTGGCCGTGAAAAGGAAAAACGAAACGGCAGTACAGATCCTGACTCAGTGCCCCGAGTGTGACGTCAATCTGAAGGTTCGTGAATACAAATTCCTGATGTATTCTAGACTGTCCCAATAAACTCAGAAACTCAGCAAGCATTGCATATATTATAAGATACATGCCTTAGTCAAATTTAAACCTTGTTCGAGTGGTTTTTTTTGTCTTAAATGAACTTGAAAAATCTCTAATCGGTTAGTAGAATGGCATAAGACGTCTAATTTTTTTCGGCTTTGCTCAAATTCAAATATCTATGCGATGGAGTATTATGACATTTGATCCAATTTTTATATATATTCATCCTATCGTTTTTGTGATAAAATATACTGCTACCTAAGCTGCCCGTCGAATGGTACCAGGTTACTCCCAATATCTCGCTTTGACTCATTTTCAGGACGAGACAGGTGAGGCCCCTCTCCATCATGCCATCCTTCTACAACACCACAGCATGGTGGATATGCTGTTGGACTGCCCAAGAGTTTGTGTCACTCTTTATAACGGAAAAGGTTTCAATTATCTTCAACTCGCTGTTTTGAAAGGAGATAAACGGTAACTATGCCAAAAATGATTACATCACGACTCAGTTAGACAGCTTAAATCAGAGTAAGGGTACGCTGAATGATGTACCCACATGAAAAGCCTACTTTTCAACTGATCGTGACAATTTTCGAGACGACTGCAGCTGGGACATACTTGCAGTCGTAAGAAAGCTAAGCTTATGTGACTCAGGCTCAACTGGAAGTTCATGCTCTTCCAGATCGTTGGTCGTTGGCAATTGGAGCGATCTGAGTGGTCAGAAGGGGAAAACCAGACCAAATCTCACTTACAAAATGATTGTTGTGCTGTTACCTAAGTTAATCGCTTTCACATCCATTGTATCCTAAATCCTTTTTCTCATTTATTTGCAGCGCCGTGGAAAGAATTTTTGCTACAACCGGAAATTCCTTGAATGTTGTCAAAAATGATGGGTTTACGACCCTTCATATTGCAGCAATTAGTGATCACCTTGAAATAGCTAAGATCCTCTTAAAGGAGGTAATATCATCTATTTTTGTCACCGATTTTTTTTTCGTGCAAGACTCGTTGTGTAATTTAAATTGTTGTTAAGAGATTTCAATTACTGTCGCTTGTGTTCAATCCAATAGGGAGTACGACTTTTTGCCTGTGGTCATGTTGGGATGATAACCACAAAATAATTGTTACTATTACACCTATTCTCTCTCTCCGTACAAACTAGGAACAAGAGTTGACACCTAAGGTCAGCAGGTCACTGCAAATAATTGATTGCTATAAGGCTTACGTGTAAGTTTTGCACTGGCCTAGTGGTTCATACCAACAAACTGATATCCTTGTTTGCCGGGCATTGTTAAAACAGTTTTTCTCTGTTTGAGATACAACCCCACCATTGTATATCCCATGAAATTTTGTCAAGATGTTCTCTCCTGGCCAGAGGGAGGCGCTAATGAAAGTTTCCTGTTATAGAAGACAACACAGTGACTCAGGCAGATTTCAATGGCAAACAACCTGGGTCTGAAGTCCAGACTGCTAACTATCAGGCCACTGCCTATTCTTGTTATCGACATTTTTTAACAAAAGTTTACAAAATATTTCAAGTAATGAATCTAAATGCTTACTGATAAGGTAGATCAACGATGAGGAGACAATTTTTTTTATCTAAAAGCCGGGATGTGAGGTCGATGCTGCAACTGCTGAAAATCAATCGGCACTTCATTTAGCTGCCGATAAAGGACACTCGGTCATGGTGGAACTGTTGCTGGACCACGGAGCCAACGTGAATGCAGTGGATAGTGACGGAGATACGGCGCTTCATATCGCTTTAATGAAGGAACACACGCTACAGAGAAATATGGGATTTATGGTAAATAAGTTCATAAAGTTTAACATGTCGAGCTTTTTCTACCTTTTAGCGTGAGAAGTTAAGTAATACAAAATGATCACGAAATGATTTGGATGGTTATGCATGTGTCGTCATTCTGATGTTTAAAGGCATCTCCAAAGTTAGCTTTTGTTTTGTTCACATCGTTTTGGACAGATACTGTTGTGAAGTAAAATCACTGCAATTTTTTCTTCAAGCGATGTGGCTGCTTGACTTCGTAAAACCGACCAAGTAAGGAACGTAGATAAGCAAAGAATTTCTACCACCTACCACGCCTTGAATCGTCCGCCCGGTTAAGTTTGCTTTGATCTCACTTTAATGCACCGATCTCAAAAGGGTTCTCCCACTGCTTGCAATAAGAACAGTTGATGTAAAGGGAAAGGTGAGCAGTTGGTTCTTTGTTAGTGTCTTTGGCCTTCTACATGGAATAGTACTGTTTTATTTCAGCCTGGTCTGGAGTTACTACTTGGTGTACGAAATAGCAGTGCGTCCGTTGTCGCTATGTCACGCTGCTTGTTAAGCTATGGAGCTGACGTGTTGAAAGTCAATGGCTCAGGGAAAACACCGCTAGACATATGTCGAGGATCAGAAGTTGAGCAACTTATTCGGAAGATTGCAGCCGGTGGAGGGTATTCAAATGCTTTTGTGTATTTTTTAAATATTTGTATACCTCGCTTCCAAAACATTTATATTCCGATGACGCTTTTATCCTGGCCACGACTAAGAACATTCTCCGCGTAGTCCCTGTATCTCTTGCCTGAATTTATTCCAAAGGATTTCAAATGAAGGAAGGCTGTTTCAACGAGGAAATTCCTTTCATACATATGATACTTAACTAAAAATTATACTTTGCTTAACAACTGTAGGACGACACGCAATAAGAAAGTTCCAAGTTTTGGGTCCTCGAGCGAGTCGCGAACCAAACCTGAGTCAGAGGATGCTTCATCTTCGGCAAGTGCGGCGACGGTGGCAAGCGAAACTGAAAAAGATGATGGAAATCAAACAGACAGTACGAATAACACAGATGAGGCAGAAGATACGTTTTTACAGCGCGTAATAAGTGACTTAACAGAGGAGATGTCAAACGAGATGGAGAGCAAAGATGTTCAAGAAGGCGTCACAGCTGAAAGTGTATCAAAGGAACCAGCCCTGGTGGAAAATATAATGATGGAAGATACATTGTGTCAGGTGAAAAGTTCATGCCAAGTTTTAAAAGCACTCTTGTGGTACTATTTCATGCCAGTAAAGAGAAATTACAACGGGGATCATCCTTAGATGTGTATTCTGGAAGCACCATAAGAAGTCTGACGCCCCCAATCACTTATTGCTTTCAAACCTTCTGTTTACGTTTTTCATCTGTATTAATTATGACGATGGTTTTCTCCGATACTGTACATAATAGTGTCAAAATATTTGAAGTCTTCTATTTTAGACGGTACGGTTGTAAGTGGTTTTAGTGGCGTTGATCATTCAAAATTTCTCTTTCGAAGATATCTCTCTGCTCTAAAAAAAATGGCTCGTTACTTGACTAAAATTCTCCATTAGGACTCTCTTTTTGGTATAAACTCTCTTCAACTCATGTTTATCAAAGAAGTTGAGGATATTTTTTGTTGTTGTTTACAAGGAGAATGTAGTGTTGGAAGTGACTAATAAAGTTGAAGTGGAAGCCTGGGCCCTAGACATCTCAAACAACAGTGCTGTCCAACCTGCTGAAATGGCAGAGAATAACACCGACACTAAAATGGGTGACAGTGAGGGCCCACCATCACAAACCTCTGATGATCAAAAAGTGCTGTGTTACATATGTGAGGAGACTGAGGCTGTTGTTGCATTCAAACCCTGTGGCCACACTGTTGTATGCATAGGTAGCTCTACTTTTTGTTTTAGTTATTGTTCTTTGTTCTGTGTTAATCGCTCAAATTTTAAGCGAGCATAGTCTCCAAGTTTGAAATCATTCAAGCGTCGTTTATAGAAAATTGATTCGAAAAAGAAAGCGACTTTGAAATACCTGTTTCCTTGAGAAGACAATCGCGAAAAGGTAAGAAGGATTCAAGGAGGAACGACCATTATTAAGTGTGGAGAAGATAAACACAGTTTGAAAAAGGCATCTTGATCTTGGCATTTATTAACGTAATAATCCGTTTGCAGAATGTGCAGCCCGATTAAAGAGATGTTTGGAATGTAAAACGCCTATTTCTGGTAAAGGAACGAGAGGTAACTTGCACAAATTTTAATTTTTCTAGTCTTTGGATGTTGTCCTTCGCTGGCGAGGTGAGGCCGATGTAGCAAAAACTAAAATTTCAATCTTTTGACGATTCACGGCATATCACCTTGATGATGACGTGGATAGGCGAAAGCTTGAAATTTTAATATCTGCTCCTAACAGAGAAGAGACGGGGTAATTTAGTATCATCAACTGAGTTGATATCGTAAATTGGCCACCGTAAAGATTTTTAAAGCTGACGTTTCCAGCGTT